TACATACATACATACATACATACATACATACATACATACATACATACATACATACATACATAAAAAAAATCTAATTTAATCATGCAATGCTTAAAATTTTATGTAATGTTTTCTGCTTGACGGTTTTGGTTTACATTTAAAGACTGGAGATTTTATTTTTACAGAAAATACGTTTTCAAATTGAAAACAAACCAAAAAAAGAGAGACGAAAAAGTAAGAAGGCGCACTCGTCAACCATAAAATTAAATAGCTCCACCGAAGTCTCAGAAGTGTAACTGCTCTCCGCCAATCACGAGGCGCGTTTTCTTTAGCCAACGTCCTAAATCCGACCAATGATGAGCCCGAGGGGCGGGGCCATCCTTGACGCACTGAGGCTCGTGATTGACGCAAGCCTTGTTGCTAATTTTAGCAGCTGCTCGGCGGAGGGGAGGCTGGGTGAGATTGCAGAGAGCCCATTCATTGTACCGGGGCGGGACCGACTATTTAAGCTCTGCGTTTGTGATCCAGCCAAGCCAAATATAGGCGTAGACAGGTATTTTTAGCCCACAAGCGTGTCCCCGTTTTCATTTTGGCTAAAGTGATACAGCTGAAAATGAGCCACGGCTCTAAGCTATTAGCGTTAGCCGTGTGTTCAGCTGGATACTTTTACAGTCAGCTGATATGATGACAGCAGACTCTCTCTGCCAACAGGCTCCCTCTCTCACGCACTCCGGGGGACAAAGGGAAAAGACCGTAGATCCGAAGATAGCTAGCCGCCAGGTCGTCAGACAAACACACTGAGCAGGTTTGTGAGTCTGTGATGCCTCGCAGCTTCGCACATCCTCTTCACCGCTGCTCGTCCTTTCAGGAGCCAGGTTTCCCCGCTGCTGCAGGGTCAGAACCAGGACCGCTTCATTTATCTGTCAGGCGAATTTTACGCCAAAATCTGACCGTAAAGTGTTTGAGAATAACTCCATTTAACGCTTGAGGATCTTCATTTAGTTTCACTACTCAATCTGCAACTTTTAATTTTTATATTTTTTTATTTT